GATTTGAGAAGTGATACAGCCCCGGGTGTTGGACTGATTCATCATCACCGAAAGCATACTGATCCGCAAAAACAGGGGGACCCGGGTAAATCGGTGGAAAGGGCGGAATGAGCTGGGACTGAGACTGGTAAGAGTCACAAAATTGTGGATCTTGTACCATGGTGCTGTAGCCTGTTGCAGACGAAACACCAACTACCTGCTGAGACTGGGGCAGAACGTTCTGGCTAGAAAAATTTGCGGCTGTTGTGTGGAAGTTCATGTTAGGCAGGAATGGAATTGCTCTTGTGCCCAGAATGTCCTGGACTGGCGTCCTTGTGTGCCCATCCAAAGATGATGCCTGGAGTTCATTTGGAATGGAGCTCTGGTAGCTCAAATTGTACCTACCATTGTAGTTTGTTTCATTTGCATTGTTATTGAATCTGTCAGAGACAGAAACACCCGTGAGGCCCAAGCCTATAGCAAAAGAGTTCATTTGGCCAAAACTATCAGTGTCTGGATTTGTAGGAGCAACGACTCTAGGACTTAGCGTTGAAGATTCAGTAAAGTTGAATTGTGGAAGTGGCCTATTAGGTGGGTCCATCGGCACGACTGGGATTCGGAATAAACTCCTCTCACTAGACTTTGAAGGGTTTGCCCATATTGTGCTCAGACATATTTTTTTCGAAAGCCCCGATGAAATAGGCCATACAAGACTCTCCGGCTGTTCAGACCCAGGCATGATTCGAGATTAGCTGCAAATGGGAAACGAGTTGTGGCGCAGGAAGAGCTGCTACAAAAGTTTAGCCTTGTGTTTTGGTATTTCAAAGTCAGCTGCTCGTGTAGTTTTTTTGGCAGGTTTTGAGCTTTTCAGGAAGGTATAGACAAAGGCGAAGTCCTCCGGAATGAGCACTTGAAGCGAGGTCACAAGCAATAAACGCAGTAAAGGAACTTCGAAAGGGTGAAGCTAACTTTTTTTTTTCCAAAAAGATAGAGTTGAATGAAAACCAGCCACGCACAGAACCGAATATATATAATAAATTGAAGAGAGATACTCTGGTTCCACGCACCTGCACGCTAGCGCGAGATCATGTCCCTGCACAATGCCCCGTGCTCTCAACTTGCAGCTACCCAGGTGCCTAAATAGCTGGCACGGCTGTCGCACGACGCCGTTCGCTTAGGCCCAGACCGCCCAAATGGGCCTCATGAAGAATGCCAAAATTTTCCAGGATCCCGCCACTAAATTTTCACATAACCATGTAGATATGAGCTCTTGAATTCAGTATGGACCCTGTGGTCGTGGGGTCCCCCGTGTATTGCGGCATTGTGTCCATTGCATTTTCAAGACCCTGATGTCTCTCCTGCTAGGCCGAGAACCTGGGAGTTACCGCAAATCTCGGCCCACAATTCTGTGTCTTTGAGAGATTGCCTAGAACTTCTCAAAAAATATTTGGAAATGATACTCCTGAGGTCCTCTTTTCTCTTTGTCGCATAGATCAAGGGACCACCAGCAAATCCACCTTGGTGGCCCGTCTATCAGAATCAATAACATTTATGAGTCCGCCACATCTTTGGTTTTCCGAGACAGCGTTCCACATGTTCCAGTAGTAAAATTGCTCGAACTAAATGAGCCAAACAGCCGCTAGAAACTTCCTATCATTATTTGGTTTTACCCCGCTTCAATGAATATCTCATTGTGTCTCTCAATTGTTTTTCACATGGCTTCACACAGGTGCCGCCTGACTGCTATTGTTTCCTCAGACCAGTAGAGTGTGTCTACACAATCGCCAAGCGATTTTCTTGAGAGCTGCGTTTCTTCATCTATGCTCCGTCCTGGACACACTTATCAGAAAAGACCACGCCAAAGATAGGGGTAGGGCCAGAAAAGAATGTGCAACTGTGCACCGACAACAGCAAATTCTATTAATAACTCGAAAATGTGCGGGCGCGTCTCGAGCCATGAAGCACATGTACATAAGAAGCGAGGCCTCTGATTCTGGGTAGTGGCCCGTGCCATGTGAATCGAGGCGTTGCCTCGCGCAATCAACAAAGGATTCTGGGTATTGCCCCAGGTTACCCGCGGGGCATTTTCCTTCCGGCATCCATCTGCGAGCAAATGTCAGATTGGATGGGCAAATCAGCAAGGCATTGCGAAGAAAACGGCCTGATTGTGTTTTGCGGTAATTTCCTCTGTGCTGGACAATGACCTGGTTTGCATATGTCGGAATTTGGTAGGAATTTGTTCCCTCATAGTCTTTCCACACGAGGTCCTCTCGCACTCCTGAGGCCAGTGGCTTCTGGCGACTTTTTTCGAGAGCTGGTGCAGCATGTTTGGAGATTGGCACATGCACTTGTACCCACATGTATAGCCAAGCAGTATTGGAGACGATCGGCCTGAGCCACTGTAAAGGATTCAGAGCATTTTCGAAAGATAATTATTGTGCTTGCTATTATTTTTGTTGAAAGCTTTCATCAACTAATTTTCCAGACGACCGCATTTGTTCCAGATGATGTGAGCAGAGAGGCTAGACAAGTGCAATCGAGCTGAAGAGTAGCACCAATTGTCTATGCCATTGTATAGTTTGTCTTCAACAATCGTTGTATGAGTGTCGTGTATCGATACAGAAAGCTATTTAGAAGACATGCGGCAGA